GTAACATTTCAGCAATCAGCATTGAAACATGTGCTATTGTAAATATTTTGCCGACTTACAAATTAGTGAGATACATGTGCGTGTCGGGGCGCTGAGGAGAGGGCCACTCGCAAGTCCTGTTCAACAGAGAGCCGTGACCTCCTGTTGTTCTGATTACATATTACTTTCAAAAAGTAATATATTACACTACTTCGTAACTATCTACATAAAGTAATTTGTTACTATACTCGCCGAGCACGTACGAACTGCGCATGCGTGAGTGGCAATAACTCTCCTTACCAGCAGGCGGCGGTAGTGTGTATTTGTCATTCAAAACAGGCAACAACCGGAAGACAGAGAAGAAGAACAGACTACGTGATATAAACAAACAACAAATAGCGTGTGCGTTAGCTTCACCTTAGCATGTGTTCTTTGCAGGTGCTTGTTGAGGTTTGACCACGTGGTGTTTCCAGCAGTGGATAACAGCTTCTGGCCTGGACACAGTTTGCGCCTCACCGTCACATTCCTGTCTATTCTTCGGACAAACTCAAAATCATGGGCATACCTCAACCCCTCGAGAGTTATCGCTGACTCAGCCATGTTTATGCAGCACTGCACGTGGAGATGTGGACGCGCAAGTCGCGCAGATTACGTACATATAAACCTACAAAGTACTGATATAGTAAATTAAAAAATAATTATTTTTGTGTAGTTGTATATTGCAATAATAACGTATGGTTGTCACAAAATCCCACGGCACACCCGGACTTGCCTCACGGCATACCAGTGTGCCGCGGCACACCGTTTGGGAACCACTGCTTTAGAGAATCCGAATGCACTATCACTATTCACTATCCGACGTGTTTATGATGCGCCAGCGGACGCCATGAATGTGCGTCTGCTGCTGTGGGGAAACTATGGAAACTACAGTTTTCTATAGCGGACTACAACATGGATGTTTAATAAGAAGTTTAATACTGTAAACTCATCTAGAGACTGCACCGTGCTCTGATGCTGTTGCTTTGCTTTATGAACGTGGACAACAGAGAAACATATTCTTCATGACCAAAGTTGGAATTGAAATAAAAAAGGAAAGTGAAACTTATGCTCGTCACCCTCTCCCTCCGGTCCACATTAATACAAATGATCCCAATACGTATGATTGTATGAACTATGAAAAGATCTTAAAATCAATACAAATGTATTTATTATAAACGTTAGTCCTTAACATAGATCACTGTGTATATCACCATTCAAACATCTTTTTAAAAGTTGAACAAACTCCACAGCTCAGTGAAGACTGTGAAATGTTGACTTTATTTGATCATTTCAGTAAAAACTAATGTTCATATTTCTCTCTTTGATTATAATACTGATGAACGTTCAGAACAAAGCACTTTGGCAACTTATCACATACGTCTTAAAATGCTTAATAAGCACCGTAACGTTCATGATATAATTTCTCGGTCATAATCGGTTGTTTCCGTGAACGGCCGACTGTTGAGTGACGGCAAATGCTGCGGCTGCAATGCATTGTGGGGCAGCATTTTCTCCTCTCCTTTCGTCAAGGGAGGTCCAGTGGTTCCTAAGCTAAAGGAGGTTATAAAGGAAGTTTGAAACCTCCTTTCCTTTCATTTAGAGAATTGGAACGGCACTTAACATGGCTGCCACTGACGTACTTCCGGGTCATTTTACTTGGTTAGGAAGGTTCCTAAGCTAAATGGACTATTAGAACGAACCGTAGTGTGGAGTTGCATTAAGTAACGCGAGATACGGCTGATACTTGCGCATTCGTTTCTGTTATGGATCAGTATCAACAGTCCTGCCAGTAACGTTACTATATTATCAATACTGCTTTAGTTATAGCCTGATATATGATAGCTAACTTTACAATGTTGTGATGTGACCGACGTTAGCTAACATTAACTGTAGCTAACGCCGGTCACTCACCAAGACAGCTGCCCTGTTCTTCACTGGTTCTCCTCCCACCACAGCTCCATTTCTCTCCAATGGCCGTTATTTCTTCTAATCCTTGACTGCTCCTGGTCTCTTGGACGCCTAGCAGGCTCATAATTATAATTATATGCATTCAAATATATATTGTCAACCTCTTCTGTGTCAAAACTAGCATTGTGATCCATGTTTATTAATACGTTAGACCGGCCGCTCTCCCCCACGTGATGTCACACGTGGGAGGTCACATGGGGAGGCTTTTTTTATGCAGAAGTAAAAATGTCTTATAAAAACAACGCCATATGTCACTGTAGTATATATTTCTGTATATTTTTTTGAAAATGTAGTACATCATTTTCCTACACATTTATTCACTGGTGTGTCGAACCTGCAAGTTGCTCTTTAAAGTACCAAAAGTAAAAGTAGTCGTTGTGCAGATTGGTCCATTACAGAATAATATATATGATATGTTTGATAATATAACAGTAAGGATGGGACATTGTTGACCTCAACTGATGGAGTGTTAGGGCGTTGGAAGGAACACTTTGAGGAACTCCTGAACCCGACAACTCCGCCCTCTATGTTAGAGGCAGAGCTGGAGTATGACGGGGGATCAACACCAATCTCCCGGGGGGAGGTCACTGAGGTCGTCAAACAACTCCACAGTGGCAAAGCCCCGGGGGTGGATGAGATCCGCCCGGAAATGCTGAAGGCTCTGGGTGTTGAGGGACTGTCATGGTTGATACGTCTCATCAACGTTGCGTGGAAGTCGGAAACAGTACCGAAGGAGTGGCAGACCGGGGTGGTGGTTCCCCTATTTAAAAAGGGGGATCAGAGGGTGTGTGCCAATTACAGAGGCATCACACTACTCAGCCTCCCCGGGAAAGTTTACTCTAAGGTACTCGAAAGGAGGGTCAGGCCGATTGTCGAACCTCAGATTGAGGAGGAACAATGCGGATTCCGTCCTGGTCGTGGAACAACGGATCAGCTTTTTACTCTCGCAAGGATCCTGGAGGGGGCCTGGGAGTACGCTTATCCGGTCTACATGTGTTTTGTAGACTTGGAGAAGGCGTATGACCGAGTTCCCAGGGAGTTACTGTGGGAGGTGCTGCGGGAGTATGGGGTGAGGGGGTCTCTACTCAGGGCCATCCAATCTCTGTACTCCCAAAGCGAGAGCTGTGTCCGGGTCCTCGGCAGTAAGTCGGACCCATTTCCGGTGAGGGTTGGCCTCCGCCAGGGCTGCGCTTTGTCACCAATCCTGTTTGTAATATACATGGATCGGATTTCGAGGCATAGTCATGGGGGAGGGGGTCTACAGTTCGGTGGACTAAGGATTGCACCACTGCTTTTTGCAGATGATGTGGTTCTAATAGCTTCATCGGTCTGCGACCTTCAGCACTCACTGGATCGGTTCGCAACCGAGTGTGAAGCAGCTGGGATGAGGATCAGCACCTCCAAATCTGAGGCCATGGTTCTCAGCAGGAAACCGATGGACTGTCCACTCCAAGTAGGGAATGAGTCCTTACCCCAAGTGAAGGAGTTCAAGTATCTCGGGGTCTTGTTCTCGAGTGAGGGAACAATGGAGCGTGAGATGGGCCGGAGAATCGGAGCAGCGGGAGCGGTACTGCAGTCGCTTTACCGCACCGTTGTGACGAAAAGGGAGCTGAGCCAGAAGGCAAAGCTCTCTGTCTACCGGGCCATTTTCGTTCCTACCCTCACCTATGGTCATGAAGGATGGGTCATGACCGAAAGAACGAGATCGCGGATACAAGCGGCCGAGATGGGTTTTCTCCGCAGGGTGGCTGGTGTCTCCCTTAGGGATAAGGTGAGAAGTTCGGTCATCAGGGAGGGACTCGGAGTTGAGCCGCTCCTCCTTCGCGTCGAAAGGAGCCAGTTGAGGTGGTTCGGGCACCTAGTTAGGATGCCACCTGGGCGCCTCCCTAGGGAGGTGTTCCAGGCACGTCCAGCTGGGAAGAGACCAAGGGGTAGACCTAGGACCAGGTGGAGGGATTATATCTCTTCGCTGGCCTGGGAGCGCCTTGGGATCCCCCAGTCAGAGCTGGTTGATGTCGCCAGGGAAAAGAAAGTTTGGGGCTCTCTGCTGGAACTGCTACCCCCGCGACCCGACCACGGATAAGCGGAAGAAGATGGATGGATGGATGGATGGATGTTTGATAATGATTGATCATTAAAGTGTTTTTAAAGCTGGTAAAGGTGCAGCTAGTTTGAATGACTTTGTATACTGCAGGGTAGCTTGTGAATTTACTCCGGTTGGAACTAAAGTCTGATTTAACACTTGATTATATTTCACATTACATTACATTGCATTTAGCTGACGTTTTTAATCCAAAGCGACTTACAATAAGTACATTCGACCAGGAAGACACAACCTTGAAGAAAACGGAATAATATAAGTACATCAGGTTTCATAGAGCCAAACATTTCAAGTGCTACTCAACTGGCTTTAGGTAAGCCAGTCCTTTATTAGTATATAAGTGCTCTGTTAGCAGTTCTTTGTTAGTAATTCTAACGCTCGAAGTGGAGTCGAAAGAGATGAGTTTTCAGTCTGCGCCGGAAGATGTGCAGGCTTTCTGCTGTCCTGATGTCAATGGGGAGCTCTTCCACCATTTTGGAGCCAGGATAGCAAACCCACGTGTTTTTGCTGATGGGAACTTGGGTCCCCCTCGCAGCGAGGGTGCAGCGAGTTGTTTGGCTGATGCAGAGTGTAGTGCACGCGCTGGGGTATACAGTTTAACCATGTCCTGGATGTAGGAAGGGCCAGATCCATTCGCAGCATGGTATGCAAGTACCAGTGTCTTGAAGTGGATTCTAGCAGTTACCGGAAGCCAGTGAAGGGAGCGGAGAAGCGGAGTGGTCTGGGAAAATTTAGGAAGGTTGAAGACCAGACGAGCCGCTGCATTCTGGATGAGCTGCAGAGGTCGGATGGCACATGCAGGTAGACCAGCCAGGAGGGAGTTGTAGTAGTGAGGTGACGAGAGCCTGGACCAGAACCTGCATGGCTTTCTGGGTCAGCTGGGGGCGTATCTTCACATCATTCATCCACATCTGTAAAGTAACTAAAGGGATTCAATACATGTAGTGGAGTAAAAGTAGTATACACTGGAAATACTCAAGTAAAGTACAAGTACCACCTAAAGTAGTACTTAAGTACAGTACTTGAGTAAATGTACTTCCCACGTCTGCTGTTAAGCTACTTCTTAAATGTAGCTTGGTTTTGTGTTGACTGTATTGTTAATACTTATTTCAGAGACCCAGCAGGTGAAGGAGCACTGAGAGCAGCATGGAGGAGAACAAAGAGACTCCCAGGACTCAGGTCAGTGTTCACTTCATCACAATATATTCCTAACACTGTTATGTTATGATGTTCAAGTGTATGTCAGTATGTAGTGTCTCTACTTTAAGCCTACTTGGTGCCGATCTTAAAATGTACGCAAATGTCGCCTACAGAACTTTATGACATCTCTAGTTCATTGTGACCAAACCGGTTTCATAAAAGGTCGTCTAGCCTCGGACAATCTCAGGCGATTGCTGCACATCATTGACGCTAGCAAAGATGATAAAACACCAGCGGCTGTATTATCTCTGGATGCTATGAAGGCTTTTGATAGACTAGAATGGTCATACCTATGGGCTGTTCTAGAGATATTTACAGTGACAGTGGTCTCCGCTCTTTTCAGGATCTTAAAGGCTGTTATGACCTTCCAGGCACCTCTTTCTTTTTTTATCTACAGCTTAGGACAGCCCTTAAGGCTTATGGGGTCCCATGGGATCAACAATTAGCATGGCAGGGATCGACAGTAACGGTTGCCAGGTTGGCAACCATTCATAAAAAATGTCAACCACTTCTTGGCCTTTGGTTGCCATCAGTGGCAACCATTTTTTAACATAAAGAAATAAGGACAGCAAACAGCAAAATGTGCACTCCAAAATAGATACAAGTTAATTATTTGTTGTTTTTAAGAGTGATATTTAATTATTGTTGTGACCAGTCGGAACCTGATACTTAGTTGCACGTGCATTGGTGTGATTACGGAGCCAGAAAGCGATGCACGTTTACTCGCTTGCGCGGTGCGCCGTGTGTTTGTTTTACAAAACATGGCGAAGCAAATTAAGTTGTTTGACTGTGGGGTAAAAAGTTCGGCCAACCCGTCAACATCTCAAACGAATGTTCAAAGTGATTCAACTGATAAAGCGCTAGATGAACCCGAACAAAAAGCAAAGAGGACATGTGTAAAGTCTTGGGAGGCGGAATATATGTACATGCTGCTCTGTTGTCCATTCACTTCCGGTAAAAGTTCCTTCAAAAATAAGAATCCCGATCTAATTACTACCAAAATAAAAGTGCTTAACGAAACTTTACCATAGGAAAATATTGGCATACAAATATAATCACTTCTATAAAAAGGTAACACATTTTAAATATAGTTAGACATATTAAAGGTATTTTACAGCATTAGTCATTAATATCTAATTCTTAACTGTGAATAGTTTTCATTTATTTAACATTAGAAATGTATTAGTCTGGCCAATCCAAGACTTCAATGCTGAAGGGCCAATGGATCTGTGGTGGGGGTCAGCACAAAGGTCAAGAAAACCCACATTTGAAAGGGAGACAACGGATGACGAAACTAGTGACTTGCTCAATTCATTTGTGAGGGATCTGTGAAGAACATGACAACAGCTGCACTACTGGTGTGTTGTATACCAGCAATTGAGGGTGGACAAGTTTACTACCACTTAAGTTTCAAATAATTGTGTTAATTACTTATTGTAAAGCATTTGAACATTCTTTTGTGTCACATGTTCATTATTAAGTTGATGTATAACTGTATAGTATCTTAATTATTGAAAATATAAGGTGACTAAAAATGTCAACCGTATTTTCAGTTTTGGCAACCAAAAGCTGATGCCTGGTTTTACCACTTGCACAGCATCCATTCCACATACTCATCACTGATAGAAGAACATCCAGGGGCTTTGTCTCTGTTTTATACTCACCTACTTGAGTCCTCTTATGGTGACCTTCCCTTAGATAGACTGTGGAGTAAGCATGTCCCAGAATTGAGACCAGGCGTCTCGCAATCCCGACCACCAACAAATCCACCTGATCTATGCGCATAGAACTTACCTGACACCCAGAAGGCTGCATATGATGGGTCTTCTGGCAGTGTACCCTTTGCTCCATGGGGGCTCTTGGTACATTTCTCCATATGTTCTGGGAATGCCCGCCTGTTGCTCGCTTTTGGAACGGGGTCTCCTATAAGTTGTCCGACATATTTTCTTTGACTCTACCTGTATCTGTGTCTGTTTTTCTTTTAAATGACTTATCTCAGCTGCCGGCTACTGGTTACCAGAAAATACCTCTTTATGCTGGCCTTACGGCTGCTAAGAAATTGGTTGCTATGAGGTGGAAACAACCCAACAAGCTCTCAGTGACCTGCTGGTTACTAACGTTTTCTTGACGTAGGCTACTGTCCACCCTTTGCTCCATGGGGGCTCTTGGTACATTTCTCCATATGTTCTGGGAATGCCCGCCTGTTGCTCGCTTTTGGAACGGGGTCTCCTATAAGTTGTCCGACATATTTTCTTTGACTCTACCTGTATCTGTGTCTGTTTTTCTTTTAAATGACTTATCTCAGCTGCCGGCTACTGGTTACCAGAAAATACCTCTTTGTCTCTGTTTTATACTCACCTACTTGAGTCCTCTTATGGTGACCTTCCCTTAGATAGACTGTGGAGTAAGCATGTCCCAGAATTGAGACCAGGCGTCTCGCAATCCCAACCACCAACAAATCCACCTGATCTATGCGCATAGAACTTACCTGACACCCAGAAGGCTGCATATGATGGGTCTTCTGGCAGTGTACCCTTTGCTCCATGGGGGCTCTTGGTACATTTCTCCATATGTTCTGGGAATGCCCGCCTGTTGCTCGCTTTTGGAACGGGGTCTCCTATAAGTTGTCCGACATATTTTCTTTGACTCTACCTGTATCTGTGTCTGTTTTTCTTTTAAATGACTTATCTCAGCTGCCGGCTACTGGTTACCAGAAAATACCTCTTTATGCTGGCCTTACGGCTGCTAAGAAATTGGTTGCTATGAGGTGGAAACAACCCAACAAGCTCTCAGTGACCTGCTGGTTACTAACGTTTTCTTGACGTAGGCTACTGTCCACTCCTAGTTAAGGAGTGCAATAGCGGTTTATGGGTGTCGACAGCTGAAAAATGTAAGGAGCGGATCTAGCTATCTTAACTGATACAGTTGTTAGCAGTCATTGGTCCTGAGAGTTTTTTCCTCTTGTCTGATTGTGGTTATTGTTTGTTTCTTCTGTATTTTTTGTAATTTGTGTTGTGATTGTACATTGTATTTTACTAAATGTGTGTGAATAAAAAAATCTATGGAAATATCGATTTAAAAAACAATTACAACATTTGGAAACTTTAAATGTTATAAAGAGGTAAACATTTGGAAATATAATTAGGAATACAGGAAATAAAAAACAATTAAAATGAAAAATAATGTCAATATCAAAAGAAACTCCTCGATAACAAGCATTAAAGTAATGAACACATTCATTTTTACTATTATATATATATATATATAATATTATGCAGAATTAGGGCTTTTGATGCTGGTACTTTCAGTACGTTTAAAATAGTTGTTTACCTTTACTGCTGCATTTGAGTGAATCTTTAACAGTTATTTAATAGCATTTGTTGAGAACGATTAGTTGAAAATGATAGATCAATTACTTTTGTTTTTGTTCAAGAAGACATGTTGCAAAAGATTGTAAAAAAATGTACTTAATGAATGTCTCTCTGTATGTCTGTTGCTTTAGAACCAGAGAGGAACACAGGGACTCAAACTTCACAGCTGTGACATGTGTGGCAAATCCTTCAAGAGATCTAGAGACTTAAAGAGGCATCAGAGGGTTCATACTGGAGAGAAACCGTACAGCTGTGACCTGTGTGGGAAAACGTTTTCTAGAGATAGTAACTTAAAAGTCCACAAACGCATCCATACTGGAGAGAAACCGTACAGCTGTGACCTGTGTGGGAAAACTTTTGCTCTTAAATGTGCTCTTCAAGCTCACCAGTGCATCCACACTGGAGAGAAACCCTACTCGTGTGAAACTTGTGGGAAATTGTTCAGATTATTGAGTGATTTTAGAAAACATGAACGCACTCACACTGGAGATAAACCCTACAGCTGTGACCAATGTGGGAAAACATTTTCTCAGGGTAGTAACCTTAAATCCCACCAACGCACTCACACTGGAGTGAAACCGTACTGGTGTGACGAGTGAGAACAAATGTCCTCATGGTAGTTCCCTTAAAGTCCACCAGAGCATTTCCTCTAATGTGTCAACAAACTGAACTCTGGCTTCAGCAAATGTTTTTAATTTTCTGTGCTGGACATGTTTGCAAGTTAGCTCAAATTAAGCCTAGTTTGATTAATTAAACGTCAAACCTCAGAAAAGTTGTAATAGTAAAAACATTTGTCTTCGTGTCATATCTTTAAGTTACTTTCTTAAAACATATTCGACTGTTACATATACCATTGTGTACGCTTTTTTTTGTGCTATATATATACTCTTTTTTTGCTCTTTCAACATTATATTGACCACCAGTTTTTTTTTACAAATGTATATACTTTTTGTTTAGTTATATTCTTGTATTTTCAGTTGATCCTTTGCACGTTTCCCCATGAATAGAAAAAAGTATCTGACATGTTTTGTTTCATTTCATAATAAGAAAGGAAACTTGTCCAAAAGCTTGTTCTGTGTCTCTGAATATGCTTTTAGTAATTTGGTTCACACACTGATCACAGCTCCTCCACAGTTAACTATTCTTCATTAAAACCTGAGAGACACGGGGGGGTTGTTGACTTCAGAGAAGAAGGGTATCCCTTACACCTTTCTTTTCATGATTTCCCTTTTAACCCTGTAAGGTTGTAGTTTTACAACATTACTTTAAGCTATCCTAAAAAAGTCAGGACATTATTTTGTTTTTTTAAAGATTGACATAGTCAAAAGGTTCTTTTGTTCAGCCTCACAATGCTATTGGGTATTAAATGTGTTTATAGGTCCTGCCCTCTGGCCATAAACTCACACAACGAGCAACATCTCCTTGTGTTATTGGACAGGATTTGTCAGATTCAAGTAAGTATAAAGACTCAAAATGTTTTTTTTGTGATTATTACAATGTCTAGAACATGTACACCTTCAGCTTTTGTGAAATACATTCATCAAATTCGATTTTGAGCAGCTTATGTCTTTGTTTCAATATTACATACCTGGGTCAGTGTGGTAGTCAAAATAGCATGTGCGCCTTTCATGGACATTGCCCTTCTTATATGTTCACATATGAAAAATATAATGTATTTGATAATTCACTATAACTAAGTTCTAAATGTGTCCTCTGTTAAGATTTTGAATTAAGATGCCCTTGCTGATGAAAGGAGGTTGTCACTCAAAATCTCACGATACATGGCCCCATTCATTCTTTCCTTTACACGGATCAGTCGTCCTGGTCCCTTTGCAGAAAAACAGCCCCAAAGCATGATGTTTCCACCCCCATGTTTCACAGTAGGTATGGTGTTCTTTGGATGCAACTCATCATTCTTTCTCCTCCAAACACATCTAGTTGAGTTTTCACCAAAAAAGTTCTATTTTGGTTTCATCTGACCATATGACATTCTCCCAATCCTCTTCGGGATTATCTAAATGCTCTCTAGCAAACTTCAGACGGGCCTGGACATGTACTGGCTTAAGCAGGGGGACACGTCTGGCACTGCAGGATTTGAGTCCCTGGCGGCGTAGTGTGTTACTGATGGTAGCCTTTGTTACTTTGGTCCCAGCTCTCTGCAGGTCATTGACTAGGTCCCCCCGTGTGGTTCTGGGATTTTTGCTCACCGTTCTTGTGATCATTCTGACCCCACGGGGTGAGATCTTGCGTGGAGCCCCAGATCGAGGGAGATTATCAGTGGTCTTGTATGTCTTCCATTTTCTAATAATTGCTCCCACAGTTGATTTCTTCACACCATGCTGCTTACCTATTGCAGATTCAGTCTTCCCAGCCTGGTGCAGGTCTACAATTTTGTTTCTGGTGTCCTTTGACAGCTCTTTGGTCTTGAACATAGTGGAGTTTGTAGGTGACCAAATACTTATTTTACCGAGGAATTTACCAATTAATTCATTAAAAATCCTACAATGTGATTTCCTGGATTATTTCCCCCCATTCTGTCTCTCATAGTTAAAGTGAGAACTTGCACAATTGGTGGCTGACTAAATACTTTTTTGCCCCACTGTATATTGTTTGTTTGCGGATACAAGCGGCCGAGATGGGTTTTCTCCGCAGGGTGGCTGGTGTCTCCCTTAGGGATAAGGTGAGAAGTTCGGTCATCAGGGAGGGACTCGGAGTTGAGCCGCTCCTCCTTCGCATCGAAAGGAGCCAGTTGAGGTGGTTCGGGCACCTAGTTAGGATGCCACCTGGGCGCCTCCCTATGGAGGTGTTCCAGGCTCGTCCAGCTGGGAAGAGACCAAAGGGTAGACCTAGGACCAGGTGGAGGGATTATATCTCTTCGCTGGCCTGGGAGCGCCTTGGGATCCCCCAGTCAGAGCTGGTTGATGTCGCCAGGGAAAAGAAAGTTTGGGGCTCTCTGCTGGAACTGCTTCCCCCACGACCTGACCACGGATAAGCGGGAGAAGATGGATGGATGGATGGATGTATATTGTTTGTACACATGGTACTTTACATATATATCGGTTTGTTTAAGGTGTCCAGGTGATGCAGACAGGCTGGACCAGAGAGTGAGAGACAGAACTGGACTCCTCACAGCAGTGAACTTCAGCTCAGGTACAAAGACTCTTTTTTTCATACTGTACAAAGAATCAAGAAATATATTGGTTTAAATGAATGAACTGATATACATTCCATTAAACAATACTAAATACTAGATCACCTACACATCAGTTAAGTTGAGGGTTTTTTCCATGCAAAAAGTTACATTTAGATATTAACAAGCACTATGATTTTGTCAGCTTTCTAATTTAATGTATTAAAGGCAAAGATATTTAACACATAGCGAGAACTGCTACTATTTATCTCTCAATATTGTCTGTAAACATCGTGGTAAAAGTTATTCTTTCAGTGAGACAACAGAGCAAGCTTCTACAGTTGCACTACGTTTTGATAACAGTTAAACATTATTTTGATAATAACATATATTTAAATGTTGCTGAACTTCATACTTTTCATTCATAATCTGATTGTCTTTGTAGCTCATTGTTGAAATAAAAAAAAAACATTACAATTACAAAATAATTATATCTACAGCCCCTAAACACACAAACACACCGCTTTCATAAATAACACACTTGTTCTACAATAATATGTTTTATGTTTCCTGTAATTTTTGTTAGGAAAGGACATGCCTGAAAGACACGACATTTTCTCCTTCTTTGAGGGTCAAGAAGAACATCCAAGAGGAACATTAAAAGCTGATGCTATGAGATTTTAAGACCAGTACACTAAGAAACTACTTTTATTGTAAAAACAGTCAGCTGATCGAATGCACCTATTTCCACATCTACACTCCATCAGCTGATTATTTCTATTTCCCTCGCTTTATGAGCTTCACATCACTTGTGCCTTGTACCGCAGAGTTTGCAACGTCACAAATAAATGGGGCCAATCTTCAGTCGGATGTGAATGTGTAATCTAACATTTTCAGTAAGAATAATGGACGAAAGGAGTGCAAATACAAATACAATTTACTGAAATGTGAACCAAAACGTAATCAAATGTTTTAAATAAAAAGTACATATGGACAGAAGGTGTAAATCTAGTAAATGTATAAGTAAACACATTTAGTCAAATAACGTGACAGACTAGGCCTGTGCAGTTGGTATCAGCTTTGCCCAGCATGGGCTCCTCCATCAGGCCTGGTCCTCCTCGCAGAGGAAAGACCCTCAGTCCTCTCCAAACCAACAGACAGGACGTCCATCACACGGAGGTTTCTCCCTGAAGTCTCTGCAGCCCTCTGGACACCACGCTGTCTCAATCCGTCCACACTGAATATGAGAGGAAATGAAAATAATAAATGCTTTAGACAATAAGAAATATAAAGTTGACTGTTGAGTTGCTCAGTTTTTTTAGATTGTCAATACTATTACTGTATAACTAATATATCAGGTTAAGAGGCACATTCAAATAAAGATTGGTCTTTAAATACATGTTGTCTTTTGAATTGTTTGTCTAAAGTGAAGGATCTAGAACTGGTACTTAGTTTTAATGATACAGGGCCCTTCTCACTTCGGTTAAATGGATTCCTTGCATCCCTCACTTGCGTCGTTTCCCTGTGACTAGTCCCTCCCACCAGGGAAGCATGGAGAGACGCAAGGAAACCACGAGAAGCAGGGAAATTAGTTTTAAGAGCAATGGGACGTCCTTTCCTCCGGAGCGTCACGTGAAGCAATGTCCGTTTGTGATGACGCTGCACAGCTGATCGTCTGATAGCAGCTCTGTCCCCGTTATTTTCACAAAAACCCCCGCCTCTGTTAGCACACATTTACTGACACAAACATTTGTATCATCTGTTGTAGACCCAAATAAATATAATCAAATAAGAACTCATTCTCAAAAAAGATAAACGCCATTCTTAAAATATAAATGAACAATAGTTTGATTAATATTGATTAGAGTGCACAATAGAAATAAAATAATTGAGAGAAGAAAAAGAGATATGTTATCTATCAAAACCCAGTTAGATTAACATTCATTGGATTGCACACTTTGTTTGTTTGTGTGGATATGTAGCACATTAACATTTTAATAGCACTTAATGACTGACTGAATGGAAATGACAATAAATGAAAATGTAAAACGAAAAAAGTGATCATGAAAATGGTTCCAATAAATGAAGAAAATGATTTTTGACCACTTTGTTGTTCAGATATACCACATATTTGTAACTAAATGATACATTAATTGAAACAAAACACGGTATAAACTGAGGAGTGACTCCCGTGAGGTTCATGTATTTTCTTCACTCCGCTGCTCTCATGTCAAGAAGCATCAGATCAGTGCATGCACTGCCTCGTCCAATCAGTGAGCGATACACAGTAAGGGGGCGGGGCGAGTATCTGAGGATTTCATCGGAGGATGGTCTGGTGGTTCCTCGCTTATAGCTCCTCCATTATCGCTCCTCGGTCCTCGTTCTGGCAAAAATAAGGCCATTGGGACGCTACTCAAGATGGCGCAGACAAATCAACTTCCGGTGAGACCGAGGAGCGAGGAAATGAAAAATAAGAGAAGTGAGAAGGGCCCACAGTCTGGTTATTATGCTGTTTGGAGGAGGCCTCACAGGTAAGAGCACTAACTAGCTACCATCACATGTACCTTAGCTTGACTTAAATGTATTAAACGTATAGTTAAGTAATATCAAAATATAAATAACTAATGTCATGCAAACATATTAATATTTGCTTGATTCCAGTGTTGAATTTAGCACAATTGCATACAAACGTTAAGGGATTTTAGGATTCTGAAGTATTATGCTAAAAACTCAATAACTTAGATTATTATTTATAGTTTTGCTGAATAGTTTCATGTCCGCTTGCCTTAGAAACGTAAAATGCCACGGCAGTGTGCAGATGGGGAGCATGTTAGCTTAGCTTGGTCGCTTCAGCTAGCTCTGGAACTTTCAGCTTGGTGGCAGGAGGTCCCGCCTCGGCTCCGCCTCTTTGCCCTTATTTGGAGCAGGCTGGAGTAGGCGGGAGTTGAACTCTGAAGTCACTGTCGAGCCGTTTGTGGCCGACTCCGCCTACTAACGGAGCGTCCACACAGCAGCGTACGTTGACGCTTGGAGGTGGGCGTATCTGAAGCTTGGGGATTTTTTGCGAGCAACACGACCAACAACCAATCACATGAATCTCCCGCCCCCGACATACAAAGCAATAGCAATGTTAAAACGAAGTAAACTGGATATAAAATCCCCAAACAGGCGAAAACCTACCAGTTTCACCCACTGTCTCTGCCACCTCCCTCCATGCCTCGCTCCTCCGGTTTGTATCCCGGTAGATGAACAGAGACTGATCATACAGCACCGGGTGATTCACTACCGCTACAATGAATTTTCCCTCCATTTTTTTGAATATGAGGAAATGACCTGCGTAGTCTCTCCCAGCATACACGCGGTTTGATTGGCTAGCGATTGTACTGGCAGATTTGAATAAACGGGATTTCATTGGCTGACGCCTCCGTCGAGGCGTCAAAAGTTGAACATTGCTCAACTTTTGACGCCAGCTACGCCAGCAACGCTCCACGTCGCTTCCCAAAATGCAGTTCGGCTAAAAGTGACGTCACCCCATTCAAAGTGAATGGGCAGAAGCGTTGGAAGCTTCAACGCACGCCGCTGTGTGGACGGGCCGTAACGGCCCGTCCACACAGCAGCTTTGAACAAATCTTGAAAATCTTGGAGCTGGGCGTGTCTGACAGCTTGGGGATTTTTTGCGAGCAACACGACCAACAACCAATCACATGAATCTCCCGCCCCCGACATACAAAGCAAAAAAAAACGGGGATTTTATGCGAGCAATATATATATATATATATAAACTCCCCAAACAGGCGAAAACCTACCAGTTTCACCCACTGTCTCTGCCACCTCCCTCCATGCCTGGTTCCTCCGGTTTGTATCCCGGTAAATAGTCTGGTCGTAAAGAACCGGGTGATTTGCTACCGTAATTTCTCGTTTGGAATATGAGGAAATGAACTGCGGTCTGGCTCTCCCTGCTTACACGCGGTTTGATTGGCTAGAGCTTCTACTGTCAGATTTGCATAAACGGGTTTGATTGGCTGACGCTTCCAGCTCAGCTTCAAAAGTTGAACATTGCTCAACTTTTGAATCCTGAACATCCTGGAAATCCTGGAAATCTTCGCTTCGCTCCCCCACAATGCAGTTCGGCGACAAGCGAGGAAAAGTGACGTCATCCCCATTCAAAGTCAATGGGCAGAGAAGCGTTGGAAGCGGTGGAAGAATCGTCTAAAGCTGCTGTGTGGACGTACGGTAAGGGCTTCTCGGCAACTCTGCAGAATCCTATGGGTGACGTCACGGACCCTAGGTCCATTTATATATACAGTCTAGGATTTTGACTCATTCCCATTACATTGTTGGTCCTTTTGCATCTATTTGTGTTGTCATTGTTCTGGTTTTGGAGTCAGACTCCCAGCCTGAAGTGTCTGAATTAACTTTGTCCTCACTGCCTAACAACCCCCTCCCCCACTTGAGTCCTGCAGAGATTTGTCCCTCCCGCATTCCTGTTAGTTTGGGGGAGGGAACATAAGGAAACAGAGCCTGTGAAACGTGTGGGAAAACTTTTTCTCGGAGTGATGCACTTAAAGTCCAATGTAGGAGCTGCATTTAAGTTGATTTTGTTTTGATTTATTTGGAACCTTTATTAATGCATTTTAATGCACACCAGTATAACATTCTTAAAATACATTTTTGAGGGCCTAAGACATTCTTCAAAATAATATTTAAAAACATTAAAAACATATATTTTTTGGAAATACTTTTTGAAAATACTTTCAAACATGCAGCAATGAAAAGCACAACAGTATATAAAACCCCAACAGTATAAAAAACATTCAGTAAAGAGCAATAGAAACAGAGAATATGAATGTAAAATAAAAAAGGCTCACTGAAAATGTACATGAAGATGAAACGAGATGAGATTCCGATTGAACACCAATGTCCTCTATTACTCTTTCTAGCAGCAGTTCAAATAAAGACCATTCATAAAAACCCTAAAGCAAAGTGATTGTGAGTAATTATAAAACATTAAACAGTTTCTAATGATGAGTCAAAGAGTCTCCATGTGTTGGCAAGTTTAATGAGAAAATAAAAGTTTTAAGTTTACAGCTCAGATTATTACAGCAGCAAGAATCACATTTACTGAGAACATAGAAAACTAACGGCCGTCACAATAAAATCAAATAATGAACATGAGATAATATTATATCAGAGTTTCACTAGAACAATGTTTCTTCAAACAAAACAAGAACATCACAAATGTATCTTGTCACTTCTCATACCGAACGTGTCTTAGTGTTTTGAACATCACTTGAAGTAAAACAAAAAGAAAGTACCAAAAAAGCACCTGAAACCTTTGAATTGAATCAAAACGTGGGAGAGACGTGTGATCTGAGGGTCTCAGATGTATGGGCATGCATTTAGAAATGTAAATGTGAAGCAATTGTTCGGCGACGACTCCTCTTAGACTTGATGTGAAACCTTCAGGAACAATAGGATGGAGGTGTGAACCCCTCCTCCCCTCATCTACCTCTATGGTTTTGGTATGGTTTTCTCCATGTCCACTTGTTGCTGATGGTTTTGGTAGAGGAGCTGTAGATGTTGCACTAACATCTGTAGCATGGTCGAGCTGTAGATTTTGCACTAACATCTGTAGCATGGTCAGTAGCAGTAGCTACTGGCGGTAGCTACTGCTACTGACCATGCTACAGCAGTGAGCAGCAGAGGTGGGGCTATGGCTTCATCGTTATCAGGAAATGACCGTATAGGGCGTACACACAGAGCCGTTTGCCCCCCCAGAGCGTTCCGTTTGCAGATATATCCACCTTGGGACCCGTTATCGTTTGCCGGGTCCGTTTCCGCGTTAGGGCCTCGTGTGAATGAACGGGCAATACGAAAGAGAAAAGTAGCGGATACAACCGTTTGCATTCTCGTGTAAACAGCACTTTAATGTCCTCTCCTGAAACGACCCCCCCCCCCAGATTAATCCTGCAGGTACTTCAATTTAACATTAGTCAAATAATTTGAAGTGCTACATGCAGGAATGTAGCACTTCAAAACACATTCAGAAATGAGAAATGAAAACAGAGAATAAGTTAAATAAAAAATATTTGAAGAAGTTTGTTATTGAACTGAGATGAGATACAGACTCACAAATGTTTACACTTGTTATTATTCATGTGTTATCTCTTCACAGATCTGACAGTGTTTTAAACATGGTAGCTGGTATTAAAAACAGTACAACAGATATGCTCTATAAGGGGAAAGACATAAATGTAAAATAGAGATTATTCAGTGAAAATTACACACAGTAAGAAAATATAATGAGGATATATTTGTAATAACTATTTCTGAACTTGAGACTCACTTACTCTCTTTTTTAGTTTTTCAAATCTCACAGCCTTCTTTACTTACACAGAGAATACAATAAATAAACTGGTTATGATAAAACATTAAAAAATATTCCCCACTATTCTTTAAACATTAATGGCATTAAAAGTAAATATACTATATATGTATATGACATGCACACTTTACAATCCACAGATGTTCCCCAAATATCTCATATCAAGTTCATACCCTTCTTAAACCTGCAATTATCCCTTTTATATAACAAATAAACATTGTTTTATACATTTCACAATTTGTTTTATAACTGTCTCAACACTGTAAGATGTTTATTTTCTTTTTTTAAAGGTCCCCTATTACAATGTTTTTCATCAATATATAAATGTCTCAGATATATACAAAACATGTCTCTGAAATGTTTGGCTCCAAATGCTAGCTTGACTCAGAAGATGATCAGATGGATGCAGAGTGAGTGCGCTGGTGGACTTTAAGATTATCAGATCTTGTGAAAGCTTTGTCACATTGGTCACAGCTGTATGGTTTTTCTCCAGTGTGAGTGTGTTCGTGGACTTTAAGATTACTACCTCTAGAAAAGGTTTTCCCACACTGGTCACAGCTGTACGGTTTCTCTCCAGTGTGAGTACTCAGGTGTCTCTTTAAATGTCCAGATCTTGTGAAGGTTTTCCCACATTGGTCACAGCTGTGACTTTTGAGTCCTGTTCTTCCTTTTATTTTCTAAAACAAAGCACACAAATGCAGAGAGTCTGTGATATGACATAAATATCACCCTCAAATCAAATGGGTGCATGCAAATATCTTTCTTTTAACACATTAACCTTGTGAATAGTGAACAAGTTTTATGTAGATTATAGCAGGATTACACATCATCTTTCTGTGTTTGTGGGGGCTGCATTTCCATTGTTGTTTATCTTTAGAGATGGTAATGTTGGCACACCGTAAAGCTCATAATGTACTTAAGAAATGTTAATTGATGCTAACGTCCTATCAAACGGACAAAAGGGATGCAGACGGACGTGCGGCTTAAGCGACGTCTGATGTATTGAGTTCTTGTCGTCCAATGGCTAGTTTATGTTTTAATTAAAAATGTTGCCAAAAAAGGCCTATTAGCCAACGTTTCAATATCAACCAAATATGTAAAGGTCATCATGTCTGTAATAATTTCATCCGTTTGCATATTTCTCCACTAGAGGACTGTAACAAGGTACACTTTCTGAAGTAAAGTAGTAGTTTGACATACTTTAATTTTCTTTGAGTACCTTATTCAGCTAACTTGTACTTCTATCCCACTACAGTTTAATTTGTACATATCAATACATAAGAAATATAATATAAAACACTACTTAAGTAACATTCAACCCAGTATTTTCCAAGTGGTTGGCGCCACAATGACAAACTACATTAAAATGCTCCGTATAATTTAATATTATATAATATAGGAGTTAAATGTATAAACACAGCAACACAGAGCTAACGTTTTCTGCCTCTTTGGGTTCTAATACAGGTTTAAAGTCCATAAAATAAGACACATGTACCCCAGTAAAAGGGACAACATTGTTAGGAATATATTGTGATGAAGTGCTCACTCACCTGAGCTCCGGGGGTCTCTTTGTTCTCCTCCAAGCCGCTCTCACAGCTGTACGGTTTCTCCCTAGTGTGAATACGCTCATGATTCTTCAGGTTATCAGACCTTGAGAAGGATTTCCCACACTGGTCACAGCTGACACGATTGCGTAACTTTCTTCTTCTTTGTTTCTAAAACAGACAGAGGGATACAGATAAAGAGACTGTCGTGCAGAGATATCTAACAACACAAATAACATTTGAATCAAGTCTGTGGGGAAAAAACAACATGTTCAAGTCTCTTTTCTGCTTTCCTAGTAAATGTGATTGTTGCTGCTTTAATAGTCAGAGCTTCACACTTCAAACTTTTCTAATTATTCATTTAATTTCATTATAAGTTTCACATTTAACCACAAAAATAATTCCAGGGCAAGTTTATTTATTTAGCACCTTTCAACACAAGGCAATTCAAAGTGCTTTAGACAAATACATTAATTAAAAAGCAAAGATAATAACATTTAAAAGAAAAAATACATGAATAAAAGTTACAGTGCAGTTTAAAATATGAATAGTTTAACTAAAAGGAGCGGCAAAAATAAAAGTCTTCAGCCTGGATTTGAAAGTAGTCAGAGTTGCAGCGGACCTGCAGGTTTCTGGGAGTTTGTTCCAGATATTTGGAGCATAATAACTGAACGCTGCTTCTCCACGTTTAGTTCTGACTCTGGGGACAGAAAGCTAACCAGTCCCTGAAGACCTGAGAGTTCTGGATGGTTCATAATTTAGCTGAAGGTCAGAAATGTATTTTGGGCCTAAACCATTCAATGCTTTATAAACGAGCAGGAGTATTTTTGAAATAAATTATTTGACACACAGGAAGCCAGTGTAAAGACTTCAGAACAGGAGTGATGTGATCCACTTTCTTAGTGTTAGTGAGGACTCGAGCAGCGGCGTTCTGAATCAGCTGCAGTTTCTAATGGATTTTTTCGTGAGACCTGTGAAGACACCATTGCAGTAGTCCAGTCTACTGAAGATAAAAGCATGGACAAGTTTTTCCAAATCATGCTGTGACATTAGTCTTTTATTTCTAGATATATTCTTTAAGTGATAGAAGGCTGATTTAGTAATTGTTTTTATGTGACTGTTGAAACTCAGGTCAGAGTCCATAACTACACCTAGATTTCTGGCTTTATCTGTCGTTTTGAACATTGCAGACTGAAGCTCAGCGCTAACATTTATACGTTCTGCCTTGGCTCCAAAACCCATTGCCTCAGTTTTGTCTTTGTTTAATTGGAGAAAGTCATCCAGTCATTGATTTGTTCAATGCACTTACTCAGTGTTTGGATTGGAGCATAGTCTCCTGTTGAAATGGTTATGTAAATGTGTGTGTCATCTGCATAGCTATGGTAACTTATTTGGTTGTTTTTCATTATATGAGCCAGTGGTAGCATGTAGATGTTAAAGAGGCCCCAAGATGGAGCCTTGAGGAACCCCACATGTCATATTTTGTCAACTCATATGTGTATTTACCTATAGAAACAAAGTTGTTTCTGTCCTTTAAGTAGGATTCAAACCAATTTAGAACTGTTGCCGAAAGTCCCACCCATGGTTTTCCAGTCGGTCTAGTAATATGCTGTGGCAACACATTCTCACTCCCAACTCAACTAAAAATAATATTATCAAACATAATATTAAAATTAACTCTTATTTTGAAAATACAGCTTCCTGTGTTCGAATGAGCTGCTCCGACCCTCGGTCCTGGTGGACTCCAAAAGTCCGACATTATACAATCAAATAAATAAATGAACACAAGGATAATTGTGTCTTATTGTTGAGTAAATAACAGTGTGTGGTTTAGAAAATAATACAAAATTAGAAGGAAAAACCGATGAAACAATACAGATTTCAGTTTTCTGAGTCCCTACTCTCCCCCTAACTGATGGCAACAAAAGTCAGACATTATTCAATTAAAATAAAGAAGTAAAACACAATAAGTGTGGCTTGATATTGACTAAGAAAAAGGTTGATAAACGCTGTGAGAATGGATCTGCGGTGCGGAGAGCATTTTGCCGCGATCCCAACTCGTCTATTACCAACGTTCAGGGAGCTCTATGCAAGTCAATGGGACTCCCTGATAGTTGAAACTCGACGCTAACGGCCCGTCCACACAGCGGTGTGCGTTGAAAGCTTCACCATTCACTTTGAATGGGGTGACGTCACTTTTCGCCAAACTGCATTGTGGGAAGCGAAGCGGAGCTTTGATGGTGTGGCTCGCTGCAAAAGTTGAGCAATGTTCAACTTTTGAAGCCTCGGCAGAAGCGTCAGCCAATCGAATCATATGCCAGTACAAGCTCTAGCCAATCAAACCGCTGCTTGTGTGTCAGGGGCTGGAGATTCATGTGATTGGTTGTTGGTCGAGTTTCAGACACGCCCGCCGGCAAGCTTCGACGCACGCCGCTGTGTGGACGGGCCGTAAAGGGCCCCTTCTTGCGTTGGAAAGTGACGACAGTTACCCTGACATAACGTCAACATAAGCCGAGTTGGGAGTGAGAAGGTGTTGGTTGTGGTCAACAGTGTCAAACGCAACGCTGAGATCTAACACTGAAGTTCTGCCACTGTCTGTGTTTAAGTGGATGTCATTGAAGACCTTTACAAGAGCAGTCACAGTGCTGTGGTTTGGTCGAAAGCCTGACTGGAACCCATCGAAACAGTGTTTTAAATGCAATACATTTCTCAACTGTTAAAAAACAACTTTTTCAATGATTTTACCTAGAAATGGGAGGTTTGATATGGGCCTGTAATTGTTCATTACTGAAGCATCTAAATTATTCTTTTTTAAGAGCGGTTTAATGACTGTAGTTTTCAGGGCCTGTGGAAAAGCACTTGAGTGAAGAGATTTGTTTACTATGTGAAGTAGATCTGAGGCCATGCAATGAAAAACATTTTGAAAAATCCTGTTGGAATAATATCAAGGAAGCAGGAGGCGGATTTCAGAAGTTGAATAATGTCCTCTAGGTTTTTATCATTAATCTGATGGAATTGTGTCATGGTGTTTGAATTGATATTCGGTGTACACAGGGACAAAACATTTGCTGTTCCTTATGCAGAGGCACTGACTGTATATTTTCTTGCCAGTCACTTCCTTTACCTTAGTTGGAGCAATGGCATCTATAACATTTTACATTTTTTAATTAAAATGATCTACTAGCTCATTTACTGAGATCTTAGGAAGGGCAAGTGTGGAAGAAAAAATCTGAGTAAACATTTCCCTAGTATTTTCAGTTAAATATCGCTTGTGGTTAACACTTTTTGAACAGAAATAGAGCTTTCAAAGAAAACACAGGAATGATCAGAGAGTGCAACATCAGTCACCACAACCTTAGAGATATTCAGAGCCTTTGACATAATTAAGTCCAGAGTGTGCCCCTTTTTGTCCTGGAAAGAGTTGAGAGTGCCATCCGCCCTTGAGCCTGCACACAGCACATATCAGATAGAGTTTGCTGCGTTTTGTACACACACATTCTTATCATGCTTCAGAGACAGCAGATGTTGTCTTGAAGGGGGTGGTTGACGTAGGCATGGTGATGAAGACGGGGGAGATGGTGCGTGGCTCTGCTTCAGTGATTGTGGTGGGCGTCGTTGAGGGGCGGGGGTAAAGGACATGCTGCCAACCCCGTGTATCACCTTCTTGCGGTCATTGAACTCCAGGCGGATGGGCAAGGGTGAAAGGGTGAGTGGAGAGTAGAGAGAGCTGGGGGGTGAAGGAAGAGTATCCTCAAAAGTCTTGATAGGGGGGGGTGAAGGGCGGTGGAGACTCCTCCATTTGTCTCATGGGTCTCCCATAATCAAGACATTCCTCAGGCGGGTGCATTGATACTTCTTCAAGGTTTTCTGCGCCTTTTCTGTGTCTTTCTCCTGTTTGGATTCCTCTTGTGTCTTGTCCTTGGCAGAGGGAACAGATTGATGACGCAGGCAGTTTAATATGTTAGAGATAAACAAGCTTACTCCTGACTTATTCAGGCAAACTCCATCTGCCTTAAAAATATGTCTGCGATCCCAAACAAAGTTAAAATTGTCAATAAAATTGACAGAATGGTCATTAGAGGCAGTTGAAAGCCACGTGTTCAGTGCAAACAATCTGCTGAATATCTCCACTCCTCTTCTGACTGGCGGTAGAGGGCCACTGATGAACACCTCCGCATTTAGAGAGCTGACAGTTTCCAACAAACATTTAAAGTCTTCTTTCAGCACTTCTGACTGTTGTTTCACAATATCATTTGTTCCAATATGCAATATCCAGTACTACATTTTTCACAGTCAGCCCCAATATGCAGGATCTTCTCAGCCAAGTCAGAGACTTTTTACATCTCTTACAGCAGATTCACCCACAATCAGAGTTTCAGGCCTAGTAGTTAGCGTTCCCTTTAGCCTTTTACTTTTGGAGTAGCTATTGGTCCTCACCCTGCTGTGTGAAGAGGACAGGTTATCCAGGTCATCAGAAATAAATCTCCGGTTCTGGGTCAGTGGAGCGTATCTGTTCTGGATTGGCACACTTGGTGGTTTAGGAGGATTGTTTGTAGTTCTCCCTTTAGCAGCTGTCCGCTGTTTCCTATTATGAAGAGGGGTTGAAGAGGCGCTCTTCCTGGGTGATAACAATGCAGGCCAGTGGGTCGCATCACAGATTTCAGAGCGATGGGCTCTGCTTGTTATTCGTCCTCCCAAATCCCATGGAAATGATTTACTCTTAGGCTTTGCACCCAGAGAGTTCCAGGGAGGACTACCACTTGTAGATTTATTACCCAGTACACAACCCTCCTGTTCCTTGGAATCCTTGTAGCTGCTAACTAGCTGTGAGTTAGCATGCCTTTTTCCATTATTCTGCAACACTGGTAAAGTCGTGTCATTCCCACATAGTCCATTCACTTCCACGTTAACTTCCAACCATTACTTTTTCATTTCCAACAGGGCCATCTTCTGTAGAAGTTTGTGGAAGTCATCTGTAGAGAATGGAGGCATTTTGCTGCCAACTAGCTTAAGCTAAATAGCATGCAGTATCAGGCTTTAGCTGTTGTTAGGCCAAGCTACTGTAAGACTGAGGTCGTCGTCAAAATATGCCTGAAACCCTCCATCTATTTACAAAGAATAACTGTCCCAGTGATAAGTTAATGTCCAGGAGCCCCTGCTCAAAGTTTTCAGAAAAGAAAAATAGGAAAATTCCATTAGAAATCCTTCTCACAAAGCACTTTGCTTTTAGAAAAATCCCTTAGAACAAACGGAGAGTATCATGGTTCTCACACACATTTCCCTTTTCTGTTATATGGTGAACAACAAAGTGCTGCAAACTGACCTGAGAGGAGGATCCTGCTGTTGCATTTCTCTCCATGCTTCTTCTCCGGATGTTTCTCTGAGATAAACTCTGCAGCTCTGCAGCTCTAACCCTAAATATAACCCTCATTCACACCCCTCCCCACTTCCTGCAGACCCTCCCCTCCTCCAAATGTCTGGAGCATGCATTTAGAAATGTAAATGTTCAGTAATTTCTCAGACAACACATTACCCTTCGTGTTTGAATGTTTTGTATGTCTGTTTTACATTAATGGTTGCATTTAGCAATCTTTACAATCATGAATCACATTTATGCGTAACAAGTGACAGGAACATTATTTGCTATTATTTCCAGACTGGATGAATGAAAGGGTATACAAATAATTCATTTGAATATCAGGATTCTATTGCCCAAAATGGATTTACTTCGGATATGGGTTGTTCTACATAAACCTAAAATCATCACACTCTCTGAAACTTGGCTTAGTAGTAACATTTCCGATAGTGAACTACAAATCACAAATTATTTGCTTTGCAGATCTGATAGATGCAGCAGGGGTGGAGGTGTGGCTATTTATGTCTCTTCTGACCTTGTGACTGAGCTAATTGCTACTTCTATAGAGCCTCTACATTTTGAATGCATTTTTCTTAAAATTATTTTTATAGCTTAACTATTGGTAGTATCTATAGGCCACCTTCTTCACCTGCAGTCTTTTAACCATATCATTGACACTATCAACTCCATTTCCTGCGGCAATGAAATAATCTTGCTTGGTGATTTCAACAAAAATTGGTTGGATAAATTATCTGATAGAGAGAAAAAAGTTTTCAGTAGTCTAAATGTTAAACAGCTAATTAATGAGCCAACTCGTATCACTCTTAGAACCCAATCTCTGCTTGACTGGATACTGGTGTCACACCCTGACAGAATCTTAAAAGCTGGTGTCATGTCGGATTACTTCAGCGATCATTCAATTGTTTATTGCTTATGGAAAATTAAATTAATTAAACTACCTCCAAAACTAGTCAAAATCAAACAATATAAAAAATTGTTGATGTTGATTTATTTATTAATGATGTTGTTGCCCTTAATTGGGACAGATTTCAACTAATACCTTTTGTACAAGATGCTTGGGATTTTCTGCATAAAGAGCTCACTGATGTCATGAACAAACATGCACCTGTGAGAACGGTTAAGGTCAAAGGTCAACATCTCCCTTGGATCAATTCTGAACTCATCAGTCTCTTTAGGGAAAGGGATAAAGCATGGTCGATATATCGTCATTCAAGAACTATAGCTGATTGGGAAGTATACAGGCATCTTCGAAATCTGAGTAAAACCAAAACACAAAATGCTAAATCTCAGATAAGGAAATATATGATACATTATGATGTGATATGCCGCGGACTGTACGTAATGTTACTTTGATCCGGTTACTTATGTTGTGGCAGATATTTAAGTAAGCTTTCTTAACGCTAATGTTATAATAGTCAGATTGCTCTGAAGATGTGAGGTGATATTCTATTAATGTTCACGTTCACACAGTCGGTGATTTTTGCCGGCCGTCTTTCCTGCAATCGCAGCTTTCTCCTGTAATATGACTTGATCGCTTTAAACTCCACACACTGAGCTCTGATTGGTCAGCAGGCAGTGCATTCACTGAGTTGAGCTCTTAGCCTGCAACCTAACCTGGTCCCGACCAGGTTAGCCGCACAGCATAAGTTACCATGGAGATCCAGCCTGCTAAAAAGAGAACCAGCGTCGTAGGACCGGAAACCCCGAGTTTTCCCTGAAGTTAGCCGGCTAAAGGAAAATCCTGCTTCGTAGTATACCCCCCTGGTCTCTGGTCTAATTACTTTACTGTATCCACTCCAGTATAATCTAGAGTTCTTCTGATCCATTAGCTTACCAAGATAGTAGGGCTGTACCCGAATATTCGAATATCCGAATATTCGTTCGTTGGAGTACTATTCGGGTTTCAATATCGTTATTCGGATATTCGTTTTGTTTGTTTTTTCCCGGTTTTTTTTCAAATTGAATTTATTGAAATCTCCAATATCAACGTACGAGCTTGTTCGGGGGGTGCTGACACTTAACCATAAACGTTATCGTTTACTTTCTCCGTCTTTATATGTAGATATTACCTTTCTCCGTTAATCTCCGCCACGTTGTTTCCAAAGCAACAACAACTTCCTGTCAACAGCGCTACCTCTCCTTCAAAATAAAAGCATATCCATAAATAGGAAGCCAAGCCAAATTACACTTAAGACATATAGGCCTACAACTGCAACGAAAGTAACAAACACAATGCGATATCCTTTTCACTTTCAAAGAACACAAATTGGGTTAATATTTATAAAACAACAATACTGTAGAATAACAAAATGAATGCCGTGAATACACCATACCCCCGCGCGGGCCGAATATTCGCTGCTGATTACTACCGAATATCCGGAGACCGAAAAATGGTATTCGGGACAGCCCTACAAGATAGCAAGTGCTACACATACTTTCTATAATCATTGTCTGCTAGTTTCCCATTATATTGACCTCCTTTGAGTATTTTTCTTTGAATTATCTGTTTTTCTTTTGTTATCACTGTATTTTCCATTGAACAAGTGTACCACCAAAAATAAAAAGTATCTGACATGTTATTTTTCATTTCTGAATAAAAAGGAAACTTGCTTTAATGTGGCTGACATTTTAAAATGTTCCTTAGAGCTGGATGAATAAAGATTAAAGGAAAAGTAGAAATGGTGCATGTCATTTGTTGTGATTATTTCTGGTGTCTAAAAGACTGAGTCATCAGCATAGAGGTTACTTCAGCTTGAAGGACCTCACCAAAATATAAAAATAGCATTTTGCTCAGTTTCTGCCCTTTTTCAACTACTTTTGCTTCTTTACATCTATTTTGAGACTATGCAACTATTTTAGTCCCTTTGACTCTATGTTCCTTCATCTTGAGTTTACTTTTTGTAATTTTACATCTACTTTAGTAGTAGTAATAGTTAAGCATATATTTGGAGTCTTTTCCATTAATTTAGGTCCTTTTTAAATCTATTTCAAGTTATTTCCTTATCTTTGAGTTCTTTTTCAACTATTTTTGGCTGTCTTGCCACAAATATTCAGCGTTTTGAATTTATTTTGAGTCATTCCCATTACATTTTTGGTCCTTTTGCATCTATTTTCTTTGGCATTGTTCTGGTCCTGAAGTGTCTGAATGAACTAAACACACACACACACACACACACACACACACACACACACCATGTATACATCACTTCAGGGGACATTACATTGACTTACATGCATTTCCTGGAGACTTATCCTAACCTTAACCATAACCAACACATGCCTAACCCTAACCCTAACCAAGTCTTCTCCCTAAAATTAATGATTCCCCTCATGGGGACCTCCAATTTATCCCCATAAGGGAAGCCAGTCCCCACACGTGACTATGTAAACAGATTTAGATCCCCACAAGTATAGTAATGCTAACACACACACACACACACACACACACACACACACACACACACACACACACACACACACACACACACACACACACACACACACACACACACACACACACACACACACACACACACACACACACACACACACACACACACTTAAAGGCCCTGACACACCAGGCCAAAATTGGCCGTTTTCGTTAGTCGGACCACGAAGCGTGCCCTGTCACCCAAACTCAATTTGGTGTGTCCCGCACCGTCGGCCGTGACACGCCTTATTTGGCTATTCATGGCCGACGCACGGCCGATTCAACATGTTGAATCGGCCGTGCGTCGGCTACAGGCAGTCGGACAAATACATCACTCTGATTGGCTGTTCAGCTAGCGAATCAGTGCATGAGAAGCGAAACGGTTGCTTGAGAATGTCTTCCACACGCAACACTCCAATGGCTGATAGCTCCAGTACCGCACAAAACATGTTTTCGATGGACGAGAGTGAAAATGGAACGCACACGCTATTTGTTGTTTGTTTATATCACGTAGTCTGTTCTTCTTCTGTCTTCCGGTTGTTGCCTCTTTTGAATGACGAATACACACTACCGCCGCCTGCTGGTAAGGAGAGTTATTGCCACTCACGCATGCACAGTTCGTACGTGCTCGGCTGAAGTCTTTGCGGTGTGTTCCAGTGCGACACATGGCCAAGACGCAGGAGAACACGGCGACGCAACAGTGAGTGGCAATAACTCTCCTTACCAGCAGGCGGCGGTAGTGTGTATTCGTCATTCAAAAGAGGCAACAACCAGAAGAAGAACAGACCGTGATATAAACAAACAAATAGCGTGTGCGTTCCATTTTCACTCTCGTCCATCGAAAACATGTTTCATGCGGCACTGGAGCTAGATTTGGGTTCTGCCCGCTCTGTATTAATGTCATGTGGATTTTCCTGTCATGTTGACAGGTTATCATCATGTAGGCGTTGATAAAAGCTCATTCTAATGTTGTGTTATGTGTGTATGAAGGTACGAAATAAAGTTTTGCATTGCCTATCCTACTGTCGCAACCGAGTGTGAAGCGGCTGGGATGAGGATCAGCACCTCCAAATCTGAGGCCATGGTTCTCAGCAGGAAACCGATGGACTGTCCACTCCAAGTAGGGAATGAGTCCTTACCCCAAGTGAAGGAGTTCAAGTATCTCGGGGTCTTGTTCTCGAGTGAGGGAACAATGGAGCGTGAGATGGGCCGGAGAATCGGAGCAGCGGGAGCGGTACTGCAGTCGCTTTACCGCACCGTTGTGACGAAAAGGGAGCTGAGCCAGAAGGCAAAGCTCTCTGTCTACCGGGCCATTTTTGTTCCTACCCTCACCTATGGTCATGAAGGATGGGTCATGACCGAAAGAACGAGATTGCGGATACAAGCGGCCGAGATGGATTTTCTCCGCAGGGTGGCTGGTGTCTCCCTTAGGGATAAGGTGAGAAGTTCGGTCATCCGGGAGGGACTCGGAGTTGAGCCGCTCCTCCTTCGCGTCGAAAGGAGCCAGTTGAGGTGGTTCGGGCACCTAGTTAGGATGCCACCTGGGCGACTCCCTAGGGAGGTGTTCCAGGCACGTCCAGCT